CGTTTTGATCCCACTACTGTACCAAGAAGCCAGGCTAACTACCATACAGTCGCGTTTAGTGAGAGTCGAAGATTCCGAACTACCAGAGGGCAGCGTACCGCACAAACCCCTCGATGTTTCGACCCCTCGACGGTAGAACCGCTTGGCGCCACAATCCTCACCATTTGAACCTAGCATTATTTTACTGGGTAAAACGAGAAGATACCTAAATTTAGCGACAGAATCGCGAATTACGGCGACCCTTCGACGTTTTGACCCCTTCACAGTAGAACTGTCACAAACTATTATTACCAATATGAATACTGACTGATCAAAAAGCATTTGAACCTAGCATTATTTTACTGGGTAAAACGAGAAGATACCTAAATTTAGCAACAGAATCGCGAATTACGGCGACCCTTCGACGTTTCGACCCCTTCACAGTAGAACTGTCACAAACGTTTGGACCCACTATTATTACCAATATGAATACTGACTGATCAAAAAGCAGCAACCATTTTTCTGTATAAAATTAGTTTATAATAAAAAAAACAGTCGCAAATTACAGCGGCTATCTTTTCTGATCGATGCCTGGGCGTTGGAGAGAGTTCAGTCCGCCATGTTGTTTACTATCGCAAGGCTATTGTTTAGCAATAGGACTATACCATTCGATTCTTAGGAACGTCAATATAGTCAATTAACACATTTCTTTTTTGTTTTGTTTTCAGGAAAAAGTCAATGTTCTTTCCCGTGTAAAGCTGTGATTATGTAACCTTACCCCAATCAAAATAGTTAGGTGAAAATACGAGAAACATATTTACAGCCGGTACATGGCTGTGATTATTTCATCAAACAGGAAAATGCGAATGTTCATTTGAATTATATTCTGTCGGGTTCATTTCCGGGGCCAAGACAACTTGTAGAAATTCGAATTCAAGTAGGGAATAGACTGCAATGTTCAATAAACACACTAGCAAACATATACAAAGTTGCATATGCTAAGCTTATTTCGTATTTTTCATGATGCCGATCGAGTGGACGAACGTGAAACTTTAGACCACTGAAACAAAGCACGTTGGTTCAACATTGAACTTCCAATGATGTGTAAATGCTTTGTTCTATAAAAGACAGTATAGTACAATCGCAAAACACATGATATTTGTAACTTCACGTTGTAAAACCTGTCCACGATATGAAATTGACTAGTAATCACGAGCGCTGTATCAGAGAATTGACTCCGTTTTCATATACTCGTATACTACACTTAGAGTAAACTACCGTACAGCCTGTGGGTAATTGCACTCGCCGGCGTGATAATGAGTTGCGTTCAGAACTATATACAAAGTAAGTCATTGTTCTACGTGTGAATATTTGAACTTACCGACGTGATAAACCGTTGTATTCAGAACTAAACGCAGTGTAAGTCATTGAACTACGTGTGAATATTTGAAGTTGCGGGCATGATAATGCGCCGTTTTCAAAACTAAATGCA